AAAATCTATTTAATTTCTTAGAGAATATGTCCAGTACAAAATATAATTGAAAGCCCGATTAGGGGTTTTCCCTTGGCAGCACTCATATAGTATATAACAAATTTGTTTGCAAATCTCCAATAATTAAAAAATATAAAATATATACTAATACTGTATCTATTGTATATACAGTATATTTAAAATTATATCTTAATAACTTTAATACGTTTAATAGATTTTTTATTTGAATTTTGCAAATTTATAAACTTTAAAAAATATTAAATTTTATTAAATAATTTTACCCTAAACAATTATATAAATAATAACCTTTGCACATAATAAAAGTCGATAAAGCAAATCACATTAATATACTGTAATTTCTATGCTCGTATAAAGTTCAAGCAATTTAAAAATATGCTAATGTGAAAAATATGGAGTTTACTAATTCCCCCCATCACTCCTAATTGGTTCTACTAATTATTCACATATCAGAGTATTGTATTCCGATAATGAAGTGGTGAGGAAATTTTAAACCCGAAAAATATAAAAGCAAACTTCTTTCTTAGTCATCATAAGAATTGAATTCAAGCTTGCAAGTCGGAGTTGAAAGGCGCGTGATTTATTCTTCAATCAAAGAACCTGGGCTATAATTCTAGCTAACCCGGTTGAAATTTTTCTAGTCTGGTTTAAAAACATCAAACCTTGTCGTCTGAAGACTAATTATTTACTTACGTAGCTAATGTTAAAAATATATACTTCTAGTAAATTACAGTTCACAAATTAACAATAATGGTTCCTCAAATATTATCTTAAAAAAAAATATCAATAAAAAAAATTATTAAAAAAAGTGATAATTTAACAAAATTATATTGATAATCTAAAAGACAAAGTTGATCTTAATTAAATTCTACGCTTATAGAAACGTCTCCATTTTGCATCAATTTTTTCCAAGTAATAAGTTCCTTCAAAGAACGCTTCTTCGACTGAACTTCCATCACCCACAACGTTAAAATCTTTTTTGCTATGATTCTCTTCCCGCAATCGCATCACTTCATCAAACTTTTCTGGTGATGTTTTTACACGAGAATTAAGGCGATTTTTTATATCCAATATTTTATGGATTTGAGTGATGGGTTTTACAATTTTGAAAGAGAAAAGTGACGACGCTAAACCTGATCCGTATGAAAACACGCCAACGCGTTTTCCTACCTAGTACATTTATATCTATATTAGTATTGATTGAATGAGTACGCACTAAAAATAATATTAACGCACCAGCTCTTCAGGTGTAACGATTGACAGCAAGGTTGCAAGGCACGCATACAAAGAGGCGCAGTACATATTTCCTATTTTGGTAGCAGCCAATAAATTGGGTAAAACTTTGTTTGTATACGAAGGTTTAGAAACCTCAACAAATGCCTTTTCAAGCTCTTTTGATTGCAAAGACTCCTCAATATTCATACCCTGTTTGGTGAATAAGCTACATCAATTAATTCAAGTAATAACAATAATCAAAATTATATTTTAGGGCTAACAAACTTTACCTTGAATTGTTGAACGTTTTTAAAACAAGGGTCTTCGGCATTGTAAACAAAATCATTATAGAATAGCCTAGCATAAGATTTTTGTACGAGCTTGCAGTAAGGCGCGTGGAAAAGCATATAATCAAAGTAGTTTATGGTAGGTCTGTCTATTTTTTCCTATTGTCATCACATATGTATCAGCTATGACAGACCGATCAAAAAATAAAGTAAATGTATAATATAATACTTTGGCAATTAATTTTTCAATATAGCGATTGTAACACAAATCCAAGGATTTCAAATAACAAGCATTACTGAGGTGTCCATCAACCACTGGGAATTCCGAAGATAAATCAGGTTTATCTGAATTTCAAAATAAGAAGTCTGTTAAAAATAACTCTCGCTTTATCGGGAAAAGAGTTTAATCAACATACAGAAGTCCCATGCGTGATCCATATGAGTTGCACGAAGACCTTATAATTCATAAACGCGTGTTATCTGTTGTAGAAATAGGAAAATCCGATTTATACGATTATGAAATGTAAAATAAGCTTACCGCGATCAAAAACAATTGGTGCATCTTTACCAATTAGCAATGCAACACATCCGGCGCCACCAGTAGGACGTGCTGGTCCTGTAGCATAGACTGCAATATCTGCAGCAACAACAAGTGCATAACGACCATCCCAAGAAGACGATTCCATCCAGTTTAAGGCGTTGAAAAGAGCATTCGTACCTAAAATAAGTTATAAAACAAATCTATATAAAATATTTTATAAGTAGATTAAAAATAGTAAAGCTTACCTCCGTAACAAGCATTTTTACTGTCAATTCCTTCGACACTGGTGTTTCCAGATTCAACAAAGAGTTGCATTAAAACACTTTTTACAGATTTTGACTTATCAACTGTAGAGATAAAGCAACCAATCAGCACTATACAGTCAAAAATCAGTAAAAGGCTGAAATTTAAAACTTACTGATAGTCTCAGTACCAACTTCAAGAAAACCGATGTCCTTGTAAGAGATATTGTACTTTTCGACGAGATTTTGCACGGCTAAAATACAAATATTATGACACTAATGACTACAAAAAGTAATGAACTATTAAGTAATACTTACTAGTCATTGCAATGGAATTTACATCTAAAATTCACAATATTA